CGCGGCAGCCTCTCACGGGGCCTTTGATTGACGGCCTATAAATGAGCCCCCGGCGGCCAATCAGCGAGCGGCTCCCGACAGGCCCCTGACGGAGGGGGCAAGGACCAGCTGGTTTGAAATGGGGCAAAAGGAGGGGGCTGCCGTCGGGGGGCCCCCCCGCCCCCCCCCGCAGCAAGCTTGATGCAAGTGGGGCGCCCGGGAGCATGCACCCCCCGCTAATGCACCGATGCAGCTAGTGCTTGGGGGGTCTAGGTCACCCCCCCCCCCCCAACTTCCAAAAAAAAGTCCCGTCTTGGCCACTTTGTTTTTCCACTTGGCTGCCCCCGGAGGGGCGGGACGGGGCGGTGCTCGCAAACCCAACCCGGTTTCATGGCAACGGACAAGTCCCCTCGGAGCTAAAGAAAAGTTTTTTGGGGGGAGGGAGCTGTCAATCAACCCCCTTCCAACACCCCCACCCCTGCAAGGAGCGGGCTGCTGCTGTCCAGGCTGCGGGAGGCTTCAAGGCACCGCTGTCCAGAGGGTGTCCGCAGCCTTTCTGGGGTGTGTCCGAGGCTAATCCGGGAGCGGGGTTTAAAGTGGGGGGTGGAGGGGAAGGGGCTCAGCTCAGCTCAGCTCGGGAGGAGCCCCCCGCGGGCTTCACCTGCCCCTGCCGGACCCGCGGCTGGACGGGGCGGGGGCGGCGCGGGGTTTGACGCCTCCCCCCCGTTCCTCTGAATCCGCCTCCTGCCGGACCCAGCCCCTAGCCGGCTGCCAGGGCAGGGGAGCTCATTAAGCAGCCCCCTGCCCACCCCGGGAGCTTCGTGCCCCGCTGCAAGGGGAGCAGGAGGCCCGGGCAGGGCCGTCGGGGGCTCCGGCTCTGCCCGCCTCTCCCCCGGGTCTCGGGACAGTCGCCCCAAGCACGCTCCCAGGAGGGGGAAAGCCGGAGCCAGGTGGAGGAGTTGCTCTCCCCGGAGGCTGCCCGTCCTCCCGCCCCGTCCAGCCTGCTCCATCCAGGTGCGCTCGGACCCGGCGCGGCCCCCCGCGCCCTGCACCGCCGGGAGGACGTGCCCCCGGGGCAAGGAGAGCCCGTTTCTCCAGGTCCTTCCACACCTGGCTTGCTGGGTGCCCTTTAGACCCGCATCTTTGATTCCTTGGCTATCCCCGCAAAGCGTGGGGGACCCACTTTGATTTTAATGATCATAGGGCACCCGTGAACTTGTTACTCCAAAGAAACAGCTTGTCCCCGCTGTTTTCCAGGCTATCATGTGATCCTTGCTATGCTTGCCCCATGTAGAAACGATTTTTATACGCTTTTGATACGGGAGAGACCGCTGCTTGCTACGAGATTCAACCGTAGCAAGCATGCACAAGAACTTCTTGCAAAACGTTTCCCTTCCCCATGCAACCACTCACCTTCACGGCCAGCAAGCAGCGGCTTCTTCTTTTTTTAATGAAGTATATTACTCAAAAAAATCAGACCCTAATTGTACCGATCCACCTTGCTAATTGGTTTGCAAATCAACTGGTCGTTAGTGGTAACTTAAACATCCTAAACACATGTTACATGCTTCTCCTCTCTGCCCTATAAATCCTGCCGTGGCGCAGGTTGCAAACCCGAGTCTATATCATAAGCCTGGCGAATTGAGATCCTGAAAGGTTTCTCTGCAGGATAAATAATTAAAATATATTCCCCTTTAATTGACATTAGAGAGGACATAAATGAGCTTTTCCTTGTAGAAAGAAAGAGCAGTTTCTAAATAAAGCTTCGCAGACCGCAGAATGGAGGTTTCAACCAAATGAATAGTCATTACTACCTTTTCAATGATGTGGGCCTTTTGATCAGAAAAGAAATTAGCTCTAAAGGACAGACAATAGAAGCCTGCCCTGCAATAGGAAGAAAATTAGATGGCTAAGGCTCTTAACAACACCTATTTCTATAAACCATGGAGCTTCTTGCTTTTCAATTACAGCTGTTCATTTCATATAAGGAAAGTGGAAAAACACAGGGGTGGGGGGAGAATATAAACTCTGTTGCACCATAAAGCTTAGGCCAGGGGAGCTTGGAAGCTCCCCCTTGCCTTTTTTGTTTGTATTACTATCAATTAACGAATATTAGATATTTTTAACTGCCTGTGGTTATCCAGCAGAGTTTGCTCAGGGCCAACCAAGCAATCAGGAGGGCTCAGAGGCAATCAAAGGAGTTAACAAAGAGGGGATAGCCTAAACTCATGGAGCTGGCCGTTTCCATTGCACATCAAAGAATATCATGTTGAAAATGTATCTGGATCTGGTGGGCATTTCTCAGAGAAATCAAAACAAAGGTGAGGGACAATAGGAAAGGGCATCCCCAAGTAGGATCCCCTTATGTTTCGGTTAAATCAGAGATTAGCTTCAATTCTTCTGAGTTAAAGTGAAAGTCCTTCCATTATGCACAGGAGGGAAGAGTTATTTTTCACCACGGTCCCTCACATTCTTTTAAACTCACTTTCAACTATGCCCAGCTTTCCGTTGTTTTAGCATCCAGGCTTTTAATTCCCTTCTGAAGTGTTAGGATTAACCAATGGTTTTTGCACATTTAAAATCGGAACGATTTTTCACATGGATTTCGTTAGCATCCTTTTTTCCCCCCTCTCTTTCCATCCACTTATTTTCCCTGGAAACAAAACACACACACACACACACACAGTCTGCTTCAAAAAGAAAGAATAAAATGTTAACACTCTAAAATGGCAGGAATAAGTGCAAGGGTGAGCGGACAGTTTGTGGATAACTGGTATATTAACACAATGTTAACTCTATTAATACCCTTTTTCAGTGGTGCAGTGGATTTGAGCACAAAACTTGATCAGCTGCATGGGAATAAGTAAGAGCTCTTTTCTCTCATTGACTTCGCTCAGCTGTGCGGCTAGCCCTTATCTATCAAAATGTATAACTCTATTGCAAAGAGTTGCCTCTTACCCTCTCCACCTTTTCTGCTGTCTGTTGATTATTGCCGGCTTCGTAAAAAATAAATCTCAAAAGCTCATTCCAATGGACAATCAAAAACATTTGTATGCAGGGCAGAGCCATTGTTTTTTCCTGTGATAGGCTGTTCAATTAGGTTTCTTTTAACCCTTAAACAATCAAGTATGCAGCTCAATATGACTTTTCCTCTTTACAAAATAAAAACATCCACCTTGAACAGAATGCATATTAAACAGTATTTTTAAAATATAAATTTACACTCTGTTGGGCTTCCCTGTTACAGACCTAATGCTATTCAGGAATATGCCATCAGGAATGCTTACGCTTTTTAGACGAGACATTAAAACTCACAGATCTGGATTGGACCCACTGGTGCAAATATTTAAAATCACCTTCAGTAAAGGAGGTGTTTCTTAGGATGTACTCCCCACCCTTGTGCACTTTTATAAATAACTTCCTGATCAGGTTTAGATCATTCCCAGCCTGCTCTGATTTTAAATAGGGCAAACACCTGCCTGTTTTACAAAATCTGACTGAAAACATATCACAGCATCATTTTCCAAATGCACGTGGAGGAGAAGGGTGACTACCAGTAACATTTGCTGGGAATGGCAAGTGGGTGTCTCTTGAGGTCACTGAGACTTCTGCAGTGATATGAACAGCAGAATAGCCAAAATTTGCTTCTGGCACTGATAAGCATTTGCAAGCAGAGCCCCACTGTCTTGGATCAGCTGGAGGGAAAAGAAACTCCTGATATTAGGGCAATGTCGACACAAGAACATCTGTTGGCCATGAATCACGTTTAGCTGGACGTTTGGTTTCTTAGTAGTAAGTTCTGGGAACATCCTCCCAATAGACATAAGGGAGTAAAAAACTGGAAGAGTTTTACAGCAGGGTTTGAGCTGTCTATGGAAGAGATTATTAGAGGATACAGTTGCCTGCAGTACCAGGGGAGTGGATTTAATGACCTAGGAAGTTCCTTCAAGCCTATGGCTGTAACCTATGCTAGGCAGAAATCAAGTTAGATTTGCACCTTTATAGACTAATTAAATCAGAGATGTAGAACATAATCTACTTAGCCTATAAAGGTCCAAATTTACTCTGCCTTCAGACTAATGCAGCTAACTGCTACCTCTCCCCCTAGCCTATGTTGCCAGATGCGGGTAGCATATTGTCCACATGTAAGGGCAAAGCCTGGATAATATTCAACCCTTGGTAAGAAGGAATAGAAAAAATGGATTTATTCTAACATCTAGTCTAATGCCAATTATTTTATTTTATTTTTTTACAGTGCAGG